ACTGTTCAAAGGAAATAATTGTACGTCGATGTAAGTTCGGCAAACATGTGTTCAAAGTATTTTTGGTATAGTAAAAAAACAGTGTTATCAAGATTATGTGAAACAGAACTTGTATTTTGCAGTGTAACATCAAACATGATGTATCATATGCCGAATCAGTTAAACATATACATAGTCTTCAAGTGAAATTTTCCTAAAGTTAGTTCGCCGCAAAAATGCCAAAAAAAGCAAAGTTGGAAAGAAAATCAAACATGATTATTAATAATCGTTTACCTCTTACTGTTTTAAAAGGAGAGGGCAATTGTTTACTTTTGTAGATTCAAACTAAGATCTGACATGATATAACTATTCAGAAAGAATATTAATTAAACACTTGTATTACAAAATTTTAAATACATGTAAACGGCGGTCAGTTTTGAACGTAATTAAGCCATCTTTTTCCGATATTAATTTAATGCAATCATTGATTGTTTGCACTAAATTTCATAATTAAAATTTATTCCAAGCTCTCGCTTTGTTTTTATAAGGGACACGCTTTAATTGATTACCAGTCAAATATCATAGACAGACACGTAGAAATGGCTTCAAGTATGAGGTACATGTGCTACCGTTATGTAAAAAAGGACAAATGCGAGTGTTTGATATACTGCATTTAGATAAAATATGCAGCTAATATATTAATTTTGAAATTAAATACATTGGATACATATTGATATACAGTTTTTATTGTACTACGTAAATGTTTACGATTCAGAAATCGGTTGTATAATAGTGATAGCGTCAGTTAAATACTGTAAACTAGTCTGTAAAACGACAAACAATGAAAATGACATGAGAAATTAATTTAAATTCTCAGAGCGGCCCCAAAGCAGTCATGGGGGACTGCTTTATTGGGACTGCTTAGGTGCCAGGTTGGGTCTGGGTGGTTCTGTACCCTGTTTACATAATCTGGAGTTTTTAAAGCAATGTTGTTCAAGCACCATTTTCTATGAAGAAAATTTTGCAATTTTGTTGTTAGCAACTATCAAAAACAAGAATAATGAGTTGATAGGGAACATAAATCTTTCGTTTCTAAAAATAATATAACTGTATTACCTGAACTTTCAGGAGGTCGGCCTTCGTCATCTTTAGGGAATACAACTGATTCTTTTTAACGTACCTTCTTTGATAGAAAAGAAATCTGGAAGGTCCTTGATTTTTAATATGAAAAACGACACAGCATTGTACAAAGACCAGACTTTATTCTTCTTCACTTGTTTCACAGTTGTCTATCAGTAGATCTAGGACCACAGATTCCTGATGCAATTCCTGACTGAGAGACAGGGACCGGAAGTAGAGGTACAGGTTCAGAGACGTAAACAACAGGTATTCGAATGCTTCACATATCCAGACAAATTGACTAGGAACCAAAGTGTCCGGATAAATGAGGCTGCACTATATATTTTTATAAAGGGGCTTTATTAAGGGTTAAAAGAAATGTTTATTTAATATTAAAAAATAAACCCTTATAGGTCTTACGCAAGGAAATAGCCAATCAAAATGAACTTAGTCAATTGAAGTTCCATATATAGAGAATTTTTTTTTCTTTTTTCATTTTTGGCAATTTGTTTTATGCTTACAGTATTAAAATTGGACTCATGTACTAGGAATATAATTTCTTTAGCAGAATTATCCCACTGAATTAAAAGGAACTCTTTTTTCAGGTGCGCACGATGCAACTTCCTGGATGGTGTGTAGGCTGTTTGTCAACATGTGAATCCCACGTGCATTTCGGGGTAGGTATGTTTACTGTCGATTTTCTTTCTTAAAAGCAGTATTAGGCATATTTTTTCTGATCTCAAATTTTTGTTTAAGCATGAATCTTTATTTTCTCTTTCATGAATTTTCTGCTGAGAGTCTAATAAATTAAATAATTTAATTCAAGCTTTATAGTAATATATAGTGAAATTTATTTCCTTGTGTGAGACCTTAAATGTGGATAATTGATTTCAAATTATAAAATCCATTTAGAATAAAGATTTCTTCTCAGATTAAAATAAGATAAGATTGAATAAGAACCATCATCAAACATAGATTTCAATATAACAAGATTATAAAAAATAAATTTTAATTACAAAAAAGCAGTAATTTAACAAACAAATTATTCTAGGAAACAAACACACACATATACACACACCCATGATGAAATAAATTTTTTTACAAGGTACTTGTAACTAAGTGGATTATTAAAAGTAGTTGGTAGACATATTTTTAACGTCATTAGATATAGTGTATCTATTGTAGCGCATTTTAATTATTACTATTATTATTATTAAAATTATCAAAGACTAAAGAGAGCAAAAATGAGGTCACAGAGCAGTTCAAAATTAAGTGATTGAGAAACTTTTAAACTCTTATAATGTTTTATTCATATCCCCTCTAATAAAAGGCGCTTAAGCAAAATAAGATTTTTTTTTAAATTAACTGTTGTTCAATTATTTCAGATGCTAAATTCTTATGTTAAAAATTGCTTCGTTTATAAGATATCAATTTCTAAAGACAGAGAGACTTCATTAGAAAAAAAAGATGACGCCGAATGACGTCACCGAGCAGAGAGTAGCCATAAAATTAATATTTCCAATCAGGAAACCTCTAAACAAACTCTGAAAATGCTGGAGGAATCAGGAATAGAATTTAAAAAATAAACTGTGCATTTTAATAAAATTGAATAGACGATTTTGATTGGTAGAGTCTTTAACTCGGACTATGAATGGTCTTCGAAGAGACAAATTAGGAACAAAATAGGAACGTCATTCAACGTGATGTACTTTCTGTTGCGGAACTTATGAAGGATGGGTTCCGCTGTAGAGAATTTAAAATCATTGACAATGTTAGCAATTGCATGCAAAATAACTAGTATGTATCAAATGATATGGATACGTTTTTATGAATGGGAATGGCGCTATAAACTGTGTATAATTGAAAAGTGAGTAACTTTTGCCTCGGCGTTGATTTTGAATTTACAGTGTTGTTAACCGTGATCCGTGGTGACAAAACATGTTGCTTTTTAAGATTGACTGAAATGAATTCCATGTAACCAAATTGAAATTGAATAAAACATCACGTAATTAACAAATTAAATGTTTGGGCATATGAAAATATTGTGTTTTTAAATCTTGTTAAGGTAGACCCGTACTTTCAAAATTTTCTGTCAAACTGATCATTTTTTAACTTGAATACCTTGAATAACTTATGAACTAACTAAAACACCCATAAAAGACATATCTTTGCAGGTTTAATTTAATACATCATGTCTCAGAGTGCATACCTCTAAAAATTAGACAGCCAAAATTAAACATAAAGAAGTGTGATATCATATTTCATTGAGCTATGCACCAAATCACATCAAATTTATATTAAAACTTATGAAAACAAAAAACATTCGTTTGCCAGGAGAATATTTGAAATCTTTCCTGGAAAACATTAACAAATTGATGTTGAATCTGTCCACGTTTTTAAGAATAAAATCTCAAAATATCATTCTCAAAATCAAATTCTCAAAATCTAAATTGTTTATATGCCATTTTTTCTTTAAAATTAGTAAGAATTATATCTGTGGTTAACAAAAACACAATCTTTATTATGATTGACCAGAAAAAATTAACAAAACAGCCCTTTGAACACGTATACCCCCATTTTTGGATTATCAAGTTTTTCAATCATTTTTTACAAAATTCAAAACGAAAGTAAAATTTAAAAAGATGATATAGGCCTAAAATCTATAAAAATAGATCTCAAGTTAGTTTGTTTAAAAAAAAATAAAAGGGGTTTAGGTTCATAAAGGCAATTAAGGATTTTGTGTCTGTGTATGTGCTAAAAGCATATAAATCCTATGGACAAAGTGTAAAGTGTTATTTTCCATAAATAGTATATATTAAATGCTTTGCATTCAAATCAACACTATAATTAATAAATATATACATATTAAATTATTTTCAAGCAACCAAAATATTTTATTACAAAAAAGTGATAATTTGAATTTTATATTGGTGTGTAAAATTAAAACCGGATCCGTAAAAGTATGGACCTACCTTAAAATAATATGATGATGAGGTATATCGTTTACGTATTTCTTGAATCACGCTCGTATATATATGTACTTGTGCTGCTCTGAACATATAATTGGTGTTTGTTTCTTTCAATCAAAATTGATGCTACGTTTGGAACTTTTATTCTCAATTAACTTTGTCCCTCAATGATCAATTCCAACAGCGTAAATATCAACTATTTAGAGACATACACTCCAGAATATTTACAGTAACATTTTCCTATATATCATATTTAAACACGATGAACAATTACGAATTGAAAATAAAACCAGTCAGTCAAGGAACAAAGTCATGATTCAATCTTTAAAATGAATGTATGTTTGAATCGTTTTGCATGTAGATTTACATGTATATACGAAAACTAAGTTTTCAGTCGTAAATCAAGGTGTTACAATATTCAAAATTTATACAAAATATTACACAAGTAGAAGAACACTCTTGTTGTGGTCTTCTGATTGATGCTAAAAAGAACAGAATGCAAAAACTTTTCATCTGAAAACTCAGCAAATAAAATTTATGCATACATGTAATTATATACAGCAGCTGAACAGTAACTCTCCGAAAAAAAAAAATATATTGACAGACCGGAGACCTACAGTGCCACCCATTGGAAAAAAAAACTGTATATTTTTGCGCACAAAACGTGCACTGGTTCTCGATTTGATTCTCTATGCTTTTAAAACTTCCATCTCAAAAATTTTCTAACCATGTATTCTTAACATATTCTTACTGTTTCTGCGACAAAGCATGTCTTATACATGTAATTATATAAATATAGCCCCTTGATGAGGTCGATCTATAGAGATATAGACTTCACAGAAAAGCATATCGACCGAGCACGATATGCCTTTCTGTGAAGTCAATATATCTATGGATTGACCGAATTAAAGGGCTACATTGCATAGATTGAAAATAATGGGAACAAGACAAGTTTTCTCTCTTTAACACTTTGAGACTAGAGATCAAAATTAATTAAACTCTTTAATGTTAATGTGTTTCCTTTATATTGATGGAGTAATTTAGAGGATTAACTTATTCGAAATACTTAATTTAATTAATTATGGTTTGTATCAATTTTTGACAAACATATCAAATATGTTTTAAAATAAATTAAGTAGACCCTAATGCAAGGCTTCGAGGCATTGTTACTTCTCATCAATTTAATTATGGAACAAAAAAAATTAATACAAGTGGAAGTAAACATTTTTTTTTTTCAGAAACATCAAGTAATATTCTGACATAGCTATAATTGTGAAATCAGTACTATTTTGGTTTTATAAAAAATAATCTCATTTCAGATTCTATAAATAGTAACTGAAGTCTTATGCTGTTATGCACTTAATCATGTGATCAAGTTTGAGCCAATAAAAGGGGTTGGAATAAATGATAAAAATAATACATGTATTTATTTTTAATAGCCCTCCTGGCCCTGAAATTGAAATCATCGAAAATTTCGCGTATTGCTACTGCCATTTTGGTTCGTAAGACAATGCAGTCCAACGCACTCGTCCTGATGTAAACTACAAGGGTCATTGATAGAGTTATGGCGTGTTTGAATCTAGCTTTTTTGCAACTGAATTAAGAATTTGGAAGAATCAACCCAGAGCCTTGTGCACTTTTTTGTGCACAATGAACATACAGGTTTTTAACGGCTGGCATTATAGCTTTTTGGTATGTCAATAGTTATTTTTCGGAAAGCTACAGTTATGCAGTTATATTTCAGCATAGTTTTAAATAGCATTAAATAAGAATTTAATATATACACATGAAATAATTGTACAACTGATGAAATGAAGTATTTTGTTTAATGACATTTGATTTAATGTCAATTTACTTTGCAATTCCAAATCATAGGATCATAAAGGTGTCTCAAATTTCATCGATCTGATTTCTAACCCTAAATACATCAACAGTGTTATTTACAGCTACATGTATTACCCTGACTGATTTAATAATTGTTCCATGCTTTAATAAGGAAATCACTACCTTTGAGTGTTTATGTGCAGAAGCTATCATTATTGGACGTACAAGATATCGATCAGGTTTGTTGATGTCAATAAGATGATAATCTAATAATGTTTTAACAACCTCCACATAACCATTAGCTGCTGCGTGCCATAACGCTGTTCTGCCTTCGCAATCTTGTTGGTTTATATATGTTATGTTTTTCTTATAATCTAAGAGACATTTTGCAGTTTCGATGTGTCCGTTTGCTGACGCAGCCATTAGTGGGGTTACCTCGTCCATACGGCACATATTAAATCTAGCTTCATTTCTGAGCAACGTTAAAACTATATTTTTGTAACCTTTCTGGGATGCTATGTAAAGTGGTGACATATTATTTTCGTCTCCAAAATTCACCTCTGCTCCATTGTCATTCAGCAGCTTCACAACATCTCCATGACCATAGGCACTTGCTAGAAACAATGCAGTTTCGCCAAATTTATTCCGACTATTTATGTCAAGATATGTGTTTATAAGGTATCCTGCCAGAGACTTGAATCCTTTTCTTGCAGCAATGTGTAAAACGTTCTCACCATTGATATTTTCCAAAGATATATCGGATCTCCCTAAAAGAAGAGATATTATATTTTCGTTCTTAACTGATGTAACTGTTTGAATGGCTGTAAAACCGTTTTTATCTTTTTCATTGATGTTCGCATGGTATGACAAAAGCAACTCTGTCATTTCTTCATTTCCATTTCTTGCAGCTATATGCAAGGCTGGCAAATCTTCTCCTTTTAATGAATTTACTATCGCTCCATTTTGAAGAAGTAAACGAGTTACCAAAATTTCCCCACGCAAAACCGCAACATGAAGGGGCCTCATACCATATGTCGTAGACTTTTCTATATCTGCACCTTCCTGAATTAGCATCTTTGTCATATCTAAGTTACTTCTTGCAATGGATAAGAACAAAAGATTTTCACCCTTGTCATTCCAGTCATTTAAACTTGATCCACAATACATCAATGTTTGAAGACAATGCTTGTGACCACCAAACGCTGCCCATAACGCGGGTGTGTTTCCAGTGTTATCTCTCTGATAAACATTGGCTTTGTTTTGAAGAAGTAGCTCAACTGCGTAAAAATGCCCTTCACGAGACGCAATTGAAAGTGGACTCATTTTGTCTTTGTTTGGTAAATCTATATTTGCACCATTTTCCAAAAGTAAGCGCATCGTTTCAACATGACCCTTTTGAGTTGAAACAAATAATGGAGAACAATTGTCGATGTTTGTACAGTTTACATTTGCTCCCCTTAGTAAGAGTATATTTACAATGTTTGAATTACCATTTTCAGCAGCAATAATCAGTGGTGTGTTTCCATTTTCTGAAGTTTTTTCAATACTTCCAGGGAGCAAAAAAAGTTCAACAATTTCAGAAAAGTTGAATTTGCAAGCAATATGCAATGGAGAATATCCCTCAAAATTGCAGTGACAAACATTTGCATTATATTTTATCAATAATTTCAAAATCGAAATTACTATCAATTTTTCATTTTCAGTAATATCAATTTTCATGTATTGCAGAGCTAAAAGTAAAGGAGTGTTTCCAAATATATCGACAATATTTACATCAAATTTATTTTGTAGTAAAAAGGAGACAATTTTATGGTGATGTAAAGCAGAAGAAATTTGTAAGGCATCAAGAGAATTTTGCCCAAACCACCATCGTTGAAGTTTCGCGCTTTTCCCTGTTAGAGCATATATTCGTTTCACGATGTCTAAATCTCCAACAGCACATGCAGCCAAAAACATTTTCCTACTCACTGTTAATAAATTTTCCTGTTTAAGGCTATAAAGCCTGGAAAAAATTGTCTCAAATATTTCAGAATGTCCAAACAATCCAAAACATTCGAATGCAGATATCTCCGAGCAGAAAAAGGCCATATCCATTTTCAAATGCTTGCTATCACATTGTTGAATTCTATGTTGAAATGCTAAGGCAGAAAACCTCTCAGACGGTAAAACTGAAAACATCCAGCTGCATGATTGTTGCTTGAAAAGTTCATGTAGGATTATTTCCAAATGTGATTCAATATAATCTTTGGTAGGAATCTTCAAAAACATATTGTTAGAATCTAAGTTGCCTAATTTGGCTAAAACATGTGCTATCACAGGACGGAATGTCGTGTATGCGGTTCCACATATTTTCCAAAAAGTGCAGCGTTGATCATCAGATAACTTAGAAGAAAAATCAATAATAAAATCTAATACTGACGTGAAAAATACAGATGCTTTTCTGTCCAATAGGCATTTTAAGAATTCTTGCAGTAGGTCAAAATCACCATTCTTCCATATGTTCAAAATTGTTTATTTTAAGGTACAACAATCAAATAAACCTACATTTTTAGCTTTAAACAATTCTATATGTTTCATTAAGGCAACATCGTTAATCAAAATCTCACGCAATTTATTTTCAAACTTTGGCCAAGCCGCCCCAAATGATTTTATTAAATTAGGGGTTTCAAAAAATTCAGCTATTATTCCAATAAAACCAGAGAATATTTCTGGAAATGAATCTTTCGGTATGAGATTATTTATTATATTAATCAAAATGTCCTTAACTCCAAAAGTTTCATCTTTTCGTTTTCCCTGAATGACATTGATTGTTTCTTCTCCGTCTTGTATGTCACGTTCATATAGTTCAGTTATACCACAAAGCGCGCAATTGTCATGTTCTACTTCTGTTACAGGGGAATCCAAGTCGATATCTAAAACTTCAATTTCTTCACTTTTCCTAGTAGGGAGATCCGGCCGAAGATTAGGAAAGAGTTTCTGCATTGTTCCTTGAATCACTTCTTGAAAAGATTGATTGCTTTTAACTTCATTTGTTTCAATGTTTTGATTGTATCTGACCAAGGAAAGAAATGTTGCTTCAAATTCATTTACTTCCATCAATCGTAACTTCTTCTTGATGGAATGTTTAACCATTGGGCTCCTTAGCGCTGTACACAAGCATATTTCCACGCAATTCAAATCTAAACTAGATAACAGTCTGTCAGTAAAAAATTCTACAGTAGTTTCATTTAGCAAGAGTGAAAAATCTGAAACTTCTTCCTGTGATGTGTAATCGACAAAGAAAACTCTTCTGCACAAAAATTGCAATGAACATGTCTTGATTAGCTTGCTAGGGAATTCTTTAAAAAACACAAATGTTGTTATATCCATTACATATTCGCTAAGAAATTTTACAAATCTGCCTTCTTCTTTAAGGAGATGACCACATAGGATATTATATTGTTCTAAAATTGTTCTTTGTTGTGTAGAGGAAGGCAATCCACATAAAGAGCATGCATTATAAAATGTTTGTTCATCCCAGTTAATTTCTCTGTCACAAATGCCCTGATTTGAGACCAAAAGAAAAAAAGCACACCATTTTTTCTTATCAGCATCCTTATAACTGTGTACTTCTTTCGCTATTATGACTCCTGGTTCACTAAAGAATTTTACTCCTTCCTTTTGAAACTCTTTGTGTCCTCCAAATATGGAACACAAAAGTGGGAAATATTTGGATGATTTAAGAACAATAGCTCTTATTTCGTCATCCTTTAAACAATTGCTAGTAATATGGTTTTTTAGAATTCCTTCCTTTTCTTTATTACTTAGCTGTAAATCTCCATCAAGGGAAACGACATTTGCAAGCAATAAAGACTCTACATTTAATTCCTTCAGTATTTGTTTTCTGCAGGTTATCAAAACCCTAAAATTGTCCTTCCCTGCAAACATTTCGAGTGTGTTTTCGAGCTCTACCCAATCTTCAATACAATTTTGACTGATAGTCTCTCTTCCGATAGGATCATCGAGGACAAAAAGTTGTTTTGAAGAACTTGTGAAATCAATATGACCCACCATATTCCGTATATCTTGAATAGGTATCACACTCCATCCTTCATTTTGATATTTGAGAGCAAGATGATGAGCTATTGCTGATTTACCAGAGCCCTGGTCCCCAGTAATTGTTACTATAGAAATATTCCTTATGAGTTTTATCACTTTTTTACATCCTTTGGTAATATAAAATGTTTTGTTTTCTTCACGCCAGATATTCAGAAGGAATGCAGTTTTAGTTAACACTGTGGAAAATAAAACATTTTTTAAGCTTCCTTAATCATCACAAGGGTTGAAAAAAAAACCGATCAAAAAAGTTTGTATTTAAAAAACTCAAGTAGGCTTTAATATACAGGACAGATATTAAAGACGGATGATACAAACAAAAAATGGATGTATGTATTTGTTTATATTTTCGGGTCAATATTCCTTGCAAAGGATAAAATTCCGATAAAAAATAGGAATTGTAAACTTTTTATGATTTTGAAAAATCTGCCTCGCTGCAACCATCCTTATTACTTTATACATTTTTTTCAATTCGAATTCCATTATAGTGAAACTGAATAAAAGAAATAAAAACAGGATTAAGGCGATGCCTGGTAGTTTTGTAAATAAACGGTTTTTCATCATGGTTTCATGGTCAAAACAAATACCTTAATTTAAAGTATCATGTATTGTTTTCATTAAAAGTTACTATATTGTAGTATTCGATATTCCATAGTTGGTGAACCATCAAAGACAAGCCAAGTGTCATCTACATACTGAGAATTTTTTTTATTCTGTCTCGTTTCCCACAACTCTCTCAATGTTCTGATTCTGTTTAATCATAATTGCAAGAAATTGCACGAAGAAGAAACAGATATGGTGCTAAAGATCTCCTCAAAGACAACCTCTTTGGATTAAAGTCCACTCTGATTGTAATTTATCCCGTTTTCCTCTGTTTCGATCTTTTGATAATCTCATTTACATACATGTAATTATGGGATTCTAGTTTACAAAGATATTGAGATGATCTTTATCCATTTTCAACCCATCAGGCTCGGGCATTATATCATGACCTTGTAGTTTTTCTCTTTTCTAAATTTCTCTGAATTTGTTCATTTTCTCCTCCATGAACTGTAGTTTCAAGATATTCCCTTCCTCTAATTCCTCTGTTTGTTCAATTAAAAAGGTTTCTTCATTACTTTCCCTTTCTTTCTATATGAGTCGACCTCGTGGTACATTGGTCAGAGCGTCCGCCCTAGAATCGCCAAGTAAGGAGTTCATCCTTACATCGCGGGTTCGATTCCCAATTTTGGAGATGGAAACCGGTCATTCAGATGAGACTGTATAAACCGAGGTCCCGTTCTGCAGTAGGTGCTAGCACGAAAAAGATCCATTCCAGCCCAATGGCCCTAAGTGCCGACAATTTGCATCTCTCCACCGGCAAATGGTGGCGTGTCTATATGAGTGAAAAATTCTCGAAAGGGACGTTGTAACTATATACAGTCTTTTTATATGACGAATATGAGAGTGAAATTATTTTAATTTTTCCATTAAAAATACTTTGAAATGTTTTTAAAATCCTTATCGTCTATAAGCACATGGTTCTTTTCACATTCGTTTCTTACATTAGCCTATGCAGAGGTTCGGAAAAACGAATGTGATGTCAAATTAAAATTGTACAAATCAATCTTGGCAAATAAATACTAATGGTCTTTTTTCATACATTGAATTTCTAATGAATGATATGAACTACTTAATCTGCCATAAAACACTATTTACATGTAGATATTAAAGTCCTTTTGATCATACTGGAATGACTGTGATGACGTCACAAACTAGTTACACACCAATTTTTTTATATATATTCCTGACAGTCTAAAAAGTTTTATAAAAATAATTTCTTGTAAAACTCTTTCTCTTCTGTAACCATCCGTTAGCCCAGTAAAGGGTATAAAATCCTACAAAATATGTACATTGAATTTCGAATGCATGTAAGATAAAAATTATGAAAAATGATATAGGAATTATAACTCTTTTGGGCAGATCAGGGAATTTTCTTTAAGAAATGGAATCATAATTTTACTGATGACAGAAAAAACCCAAACATAAGCGCCCAAATTGAAGGGGAAATAAACGCGAAAATCTACAACGCAAGAATGAGAACACGCTAAAAATCTTCAAACATGCATTTAGTCAATTTATGCTATGTCCAAAACCTATGCTTTAAGAGATGTATACATTTCGACAACCAGGCTAAAAAATCACTCAAGTATAACAAATGCACCAAAGCTTACATGGTAGATCAAGGTAGCGCAACAATTTCAAACAAATAAGGCAAAATCGATGAAATATGGCGGGAAAAGGCGCAAAGGAATGTAGAAAGTCGTACAAAGATGAAACTTTGGATTTAGACAAAAGTGCACCTTCTAGGGTTGAGACTGATCCTTTTTTCAAAATATTTTTTATGCACTTTATTTTTTGAAATATATTTTATCTGAATTTGATTATTTGATGATTGCTTTGTAGTGTTACGAGATAGCATTGATAGTTTGTGTCTCTGAATATACGAGGGCTGTTCGGAAATTATCAAGACAGTACATTTACTCCACAAAGGACGTAGATAATTTCATGAAAGTTCATCAACATTTTATAAAGAAGGAATAAAACATATATACAAAATTTCTAATTTATATGATAATTAGATAAGTTTCGATGAAATAATAAACATGCATATGTCTATGTCCGGAGCAACATCGCTAGGTCATATAACGTCACGTCAGCCGGAGATGTTTTCGCATGTGGAACGATCGGGAAGCGTTTAATACTCTTCCTTCTTTGTTATTTCATATTATATTTAACAAGACTCAAACAGTCTCTTTTCTTGAACTATTCTTTAAAAATGTATGCTGTTGCTTACCGAGTGTAAATTTTTTATTTGTAGGAAAACATGACTTAGCATCATTCTGTGCCGATTTATGCAACGCGGGTCAACGTTATTAATACCGTAAACGATGTTAATATCGTACGTAATAACTAATGGTCGTCCTGAACTTTTAATTTTACTCTGGTTGTATTAATTGTAAAATTGTAAAAAAAAAAAAATGTCTACCAATAAAATAACAAACCCTAACACATTTTTTTCTCGTTTTTATTGTTTTAGTAGGTCGTTCAGTCTGGAAAAGAGTTGTACATTGCGCTATTCAATAATTTAGGTGTGCTCTCTCTTCCGCCCTTGACGTTAAGATTCATTTTGACATGGATAGCAGATTTCTCTATCGCGCTTAATTTTCTTATTATCTTCATATTTCTGATCAAATTCTAACATAGTTGCAGAACATGGATTTGAAATAAAGCTGAAAAATGATACAATTAACTTAAGTATTTTCGCTCTTATTATGGGTCTACGAAGAGTAAGAACGTTGGTGTTACATATTTTCAATATCTGATTTCGTGATTGTTCCAGGTACCCTTATTATTGACGCATGTATATATCATTGTAGAAAAATTATTTAATATTTGTAAAATATTTCTTGCTTTTATTAATTACATGTATTAGTATACGTCAAACGTACGAAGGATGTCCGGTAAAATCATGTACAAAGCGTTTTGCTCGAAAATAATGGGCGAACTTAGCTGAAATTTTTTAGTAACTGTTTATTTATCATATTGAAGTGCTTCATAACTTTTTTGATAAAATATACTTTAAAAAACATTTTATTATGCTGAAATGTGCACAGGGTATGGTCCTACGGCGCACGGTCAAAAAACGGTTTTATTAGAGAATACTTTAGTTTTGATTCGAAATAAAAGAATTAAACAGATAAGATTGGGGTAAACATCATCCTTATTCGACTCAATTTAATTTATTTAATTTATTTTATCGTGTTAAAAAAAAAATTTAAGGCATTTGGTCAAATTTTGGCTGTTTCCTGAGCATTAGAAAGGGTTAAGTGGTAAATACACACGAAAAATAGTGACGTTTGATGATGTAACGGCTCAGCGGAGAGCATTTTCCTTTGATTTAGATGATGTAATAACAACTTAAGAGACTTTAAATGAATACAAAAGTAAACAAGAGGCCCAGGGGCCACAGCACTCACCTGAGCACGTCGTCTAGGTAAAAGCACATTTCAGATCAGAACTGAAAGTTTAAATTTCACCCCCCCACCCCCCACCCCATCCCCCCAAGACGGTCATGATTTGAACAATCTAGAATCTACACTATCTGAGGATGATTCCATATAAATATCACTAATCATGGCTTTGAAGTACTTGAAAAGAAGATTTTAAAAGGTTTCCCAATATATCCCTATGTAAAACTTTGGTCGGCCATTTTGGCCCCACCCTAGCGCCAGGGGTCATGATTTGAACAAACTTGAATCTACACTACCTGTGGATAAAATCACATGAGTTTCATCTTTCCTGTCTCAATGGTTCTTGAGGAGAAGATTTCTATATATTCCTTATGTAAAAACTTTGATCGGCCATATTGGCCCCACCCTAGCCCTGTAGGTCATAATTTGAACAAATTTGAATCTACACTACCAGAGGATGATTCCATATGAGTTTCTTTTTTCCTAGCCGATTGGTTGTTGAGAAGAAGATTTTTAAAGATTATTCCTATATATTCCTATGTAAAACTTTGGTCGGCCATTTTGGCCCCGCCCTATCCCCGTAGGTCATGGTTTGGACAAACTTGAATCTGCACTACCTGAGGATAATTCCACCTGAGTTTCATCTTTCCTGGCCCAGTGGTTCTTGAGAAGAAGATTTTTAAAGATTTTTCCTATATATAATCCTATGTAAAACATTGGTCGGCCATTTTGGCCAAACCCTAGCCCCAGGGGTCATGATTTGAACAAACGTGAATCCACACTACTTGAGAATGATTCCACACGAGTGTCATCTTTCCTGGCCCAGGGGTTGTTAAGAAGAAGATTTTTAAAGATTGTTCCTATATATTCCTATGAAAAACTTTGGTCGGCCATTTAGGCTACACCCTAGCCCTGTAGGTCATGATTTGAACAAATTGAATCTACACTACCAGAGGATGATTCCATATGAGTTTCTTTTTTCCTAGCCGAGTGGTTGTTGAGAAGAAGATTTTTAAAGATTTTTCCTATATATTCCTATGTAAAACTTTGGTCGGCCATTTTGGCCCCGCCCTAGCCCCGTAGGTCATGGTTTGGACAAACTTGAATCTGCACTACCTGAGGATAATTCCACCTGAGTTTCATCTTTCCTGGCCCAGTGGTTCTTGAGAAGAAGATTTTTAAAGATTTTTCCTATATATTCCTATGTAAAACATTGGTCGGCCATTTCGGCCAAACCCTAGCCCCAGGGGTCATGATTTGAACAAACGTGAATCGACACTACTTGAGAATGATTCCACATGAGTGTCATCTTTCCTGGCCCAGGGGTTGTTAAGAAGAAGATTTTTAAAGATTATTCCTATATATTCCTATGTAAAACTTTGGTCGGCCATTTTGGCCCCACCCTAGCCCCGGGGGTCATGATTTGAACAAACTTGAATCTACACTACCTGTGTATGATTCCACTTAAGTTTTATCTTTCCTGGCCCAGTGGTTTTTGAGAAGATGAAAATGTGTAAAGATTTTTCTTTTAAAATGCCATTAATATTTCTCTTATTCATAATTATCTGACCTTGGAAAAGAGCTTGGTCCTTCATTTTAACAAACTTAAATCCCCTTTACCCAAGGATACTCTGTAGCAAGTTTGGTTGAAATTGGCCCAGTGGTTCTTGAGAAGAAGATGAAAATGTGAAAAGTTAACGACAACAACGACGACGACGAAGACGACGACAGACAACGCACAAATTTAGAGTTAAAAATCACCAAATCTGAAGTATAGAAATGAAATAAGATTTTCGTAGTTAAGTCTTTCTTGATCGAGTCCCCAGGTTGTACAAAACATACGGACAAACTGTTATTGTAATAGCTTGATCGTCAAATATAAAATTGTCCATTAGTTGAATAATGCTTGGAATATTGTCTGTAACTTACTAATAAATCTTCAGAAGATCGCACGTTTGTGCAAGTTTGGTTCTTCAACTGTTTTTGGAGACAAAATAATGTGCATCCATGAAATTACTTAATTTAAGTGGGACTTATCCAAACTTAGTTTTAGAGCAAAAATTAAACATGGCACTGTTTTAGACACCTTGACGTTATCATCCGTGCGTCGTAAGCACAGGCATTTGTTTCTGTGATAAATTTTTTACCCATAGTATAATAATAACACAGGCACTTGTTTCTGTGATAAATTTTTTACCCATAGTATAATAATAACACAAGGTATCTAACTCCGATTTACACCGAGTACCCCCCTCCCTTAGAATCGCGCTCATTTACACTTTCAGAGGAAATGCACGGGTAAACTGTTTATACCTATATCTTCTACGATAATTTATCTACACAACCATATCTGGCATGCTTGTCTTTATTTTCTTTTATCTCCGTAATCAGCGTCAAAACTCTGCTCGCCGAGTGGAAAGTAAAACTGTACCATAGAATTGGATGTTCTGATCTCGGGCAAAGAGAAAAATTAAAGAATGCGTGGGTTTAAAAATTCAATCCCAGATTTTAAATATTGCATTGAATTAATAAAATTTCATAGTGTCTTATTTTCCATAAAAACGTTACGATGTTTTCCGGTGTAAATTTAGAAACAGATTTTTAGCCAATCAAATTCGAGGTCTAATTCTTTGCCCGAGACTATAACATCCAATTCTATGGTACAGTTTTACTTTCCACTCGGCGAGCAGAGTTTTGACGCTGATTACGGAGATAAAAGAAAATAAAGACAAGCATGCCAGATATGGTTGTGTAGATAAATTATCGTAGAAGATATAGGTATAAACAGTTTACCCGTGCATTTCCTCTGAAAGTGTAAATGAGCGCGATTCTAAGGGAGGGGGGTACTCGGTGTAAATCGGAGTTAGATACCTTGTGTTATTATTATACTATGGGTTAAAAATTTATTGCAGAAACAAGTGCCTGTGGTCGTAAGGCCATATAATGCACATCATAAAATCTTATAATTCGTTTATTTATGCATATATCTATTTGAAATTTGCTATGTTTATTCAGAAAATATGTACTGAATAGTGGTGAAAATTTCAGAATGCAGTGATGATTATTATTTACATGAGACAACCTGTCCACGATTTTACCGGACAACCCTCGTATAAGCAAAATTTCACCTAAAGATGTTCATTAGAAAGCAAAATACACAATGTCTCGATAATTTACGAACAGCCCTCGTACAGTTTCATTTTTAGTCAAAGTTTTGCAATTATGACATCTACAAAAAATTGAAATGAATATTAATTTATAAGTATAGGCTTCGGAACCGGGGGGAGGGGGGTGCTTAGTACCCCCTTTTTGCAAATATTAACATAATTTAGGAGCTCAGAGAGATAGGAGCATACAATTCGTTTGATAAAAATAATATCCAATTTCATTAGAAGTCCCATATGATCACATCCATTCATTTTAAAAATATTTATCTTACCTTTCGCGGAAGAACACGTGCCTTCTCCTTCAGAGTTTGCTATAATTACAGCCTCCCTTTCCCTTAACTGATCAAGTGTCTAAAAAATATTATGTCATGTTGAAACTTTCTTGTTACTAAAGATTCATTGCTGTCAAGCTAAAAGTAGCTAAACAAAAATATGGAAAATGCAAAATATTAATAAATGACAGACAATGCCTGGCGATTAGGAACAAAAAATCAGACAAACTGTACAAAAAAAGTGATGGACGACCAAAGAGCTACAGTGCCTCCCATTGAAAAAGTGTTTATTTATTGCGCATAAAAATGCGCTGTTCTCTTGATTAATTTCTCCGTTTATTTATTCTGCCTTCACAATTTTTTTTCAACCGTGTACTCTCAGCATATTATTGTTTAAAGACTTCCATAACAAAATCTTTCCCAAAACCGTTGTTTATATAGCCCTAGTGGGCCCAAACTTCGGACCATAAAATTTTCGCCAGTTGGTAATGCCAGTTTTTTGGTTCCATGGCCCTTGGATCATTTTTATATTATACTTAAATGATCTTGAAGTAAAGAAGATAAAAATTAAGATTATGTATCAAGTGTTGTTTCACAATGCGAAAAAACAAAGATTTTAAAATGTAACGAAAACTTATTTTTTAATAAATTAACACAAAAAAGTCAATCATATTCCTATCAAAAAAATTAAATTCTAAGTTTAAGTGTTCAAATAACCAGTATGTTTATTCAAAGTACAAGTAATTTACGGGAATTATAGTAAGGACCATATAATTATATTAAAAATGCAGAGTTTATAGATTTTGCAGTATTATCAAGTAAAAGTTGACTAACTCAAATATTAAAACTACGTGTATTTTGAAAACAAATAACATCATGATTATACCTATTCATACCCATATTTCTAAAGGTCACTAATTATACATGTAAATTGGTGACCAGGGAACTATATTCTACAGAAACCTACACTGAGATATTGTTGGTTTGGAGTACGCGCATCCATTCTCCGGCATATATCTTCATACTTTTTCCAAGTTTCCATAAAATTGGTTTTCGTTTCCTCGTTAATATGCATGTGTCCATACTTGTTCTTAAGTTCATTGATTTGTTTAACATCCTCTTTTAATGCGCCGTCTATTTTACAGACATTTCTAAATAGAAAAGGAAAGAAATACTATCAAGAGGCCTGAGGGTCACATTTCTCACCTGAGCACTTTGGTTAGGAGATTGTTAGATTGATTGTATGTTAATTATAGTCCCTCTAGAGGATTTTTCACTCATATGGAGACGCCACCACCTGTCGGTGGAGAGTTGAAAATTTTGTCCTATACTCGGCATTCAGGGCCTTTGAGCAGTGAGGGATCTTTTTTACCTATTTCATCGACTACAACATGGGACCTCAACTTATGTGGTCCATCTGAAGGACCGCTCTCCATGTCCCAAAGTGGGATTCGAACCCGCGACGTAAGGATCAAATCATTACTTCGCGATTCTAAAGCAGTTGCTTTAACCAATGCGCCACGAGGGCGACTTTGGTTAGGTGAAAGCTAATATCAGTTCAGTATTGAAAAGCTTAAATATAAAAGTGGCTTTGGGTGAATTGTGTAGGGGGATTTTGGAGGAATTTGAACAAACTAAAATCTACACCTTTGAATTAATATGATACATAATGGCTTCTTTGTTTATGAGATGAAACTGTTTATTGATAGACTCCATGTTCCATTGTGTATATCTTTGATCCCCTTAGTTAAATGACTTTTATATCATCCTTGTTGGTCATACTAGTAGTTTGAACAAAAAATCTACGTTACTTTTTAATGCTTTTATTTATTCATGACCAATCATGATATTGTTGTTCTTGTGAGAATTTTAGAGATTTTCCCTATGTATTCCTTTTAAATTTTGACCCCCATTGTGGCCCCACCCTACCCCAGGGGGTCATGATTTGCACAAACCTGAATCTATACTACCAGAGGATGCTTCCGTATAACTATCATGACCAATCATGACTCTGCTGCTTATGAAAAAAAATTTTTTGATGATTTACCCTATGTATTCCTTTGTGTAACTTTGATCATCCATTGTAACCATGATTTAATCAAACTTAAATCTACTCTACCTCAGAATGCTTCCACATGAGTTTCATCTTCCCTGGCTCAGTGGTTTTTGAAGAGAAAACTTCAAAAACATGTAGGTAATTTTTTACCTATTCATAATTATCTCATAATTATCGCCCGTGGTTGAAATAAGACGAGTTGTTCTTGAGAAGATGAAAATAAGAAAAAAAATTACGATGATAAAGACGACATCGATGACAAACAATTACGGAACAAATTTTGATCAGAAAAGTTCACTTGAGCCACCGACTCAGAGGAGCCAATAATATATTGTGTTTTGTATGTATTGTTAAAATTGCTAAACATGCAGAATCTCTCTTTTGAAAATTTTAAGGCTTCCGTATGCACTACCTGTAGGGAAAATACAAGTAGTACAAGTTATTGCTATTCATTTCTTACTGAATGATCAGTTTTTCAAAAAATCTATACTTACACCAAAAGTTTATGCAATAACGTTATATCAAATTCGAGGTAAGATCCGTTCCCTGTAGCTCTGCGAATATTATGCATTTGTGCGCCATCAAATTTTAGCTTACGTAGTTCATTTGCACTTAATTGATTTATCGTCTGCAGAAGATTGGCGGGAGGTATGCGGTTTGAAAGTTCATTCCTTAATATATAGACAAAGAGTTCCTGTAACGCACTCTTTGCTCGTACAAAATTTCCATTCCTTCCTTATTAAAGAGCCAATCAAAAGAGGATTCTAAAATAAATGATAAAAATAAAATTGATTAATCAATCTTATGAATCTAAAAGAAAACTCACAATTTTATTTTTTCACAATTCTTGAAACCTGATTTGAATGCATTTTTACTTGTGACGCCATGCCCAAAATGCAATACGTGTTAGATTCTTCGTATAACGTAAAGGGTGCACATATAATTCTTCTCAAATATGAACATCAGAAGTTTATATATGTTAATTTTTCTCTGCCCATGAAATACTTATAGTTAATTACAATTTTGCAACAGAAAAATTGGACATCAAAGTTGCAGCTTAAATTGTGTTACAGTTTACATGTATTATTTCTTTAAATTTAATCACGTAAAATCATATTGAATAGCAAACACTCTACACGGCATTCACCTTTTGATAAAAACCGATTTTGCCGTTATACAATATACTCTAGAAAACATAGCTAATATCTTTGTGTTTTCTCGATAATAATTCTGATGATTTTTTTTTTAAAATTTCATTTGATATAGGTTAAATATTCAAAAATATAGTTGTACATTGTTTCTTTATCAATTACTATATAAGCGTATTACTGCCAAGTAATTTTTTATAGGTTGAAAATTCCAAATTTAAAGTTCAAAAGAATTGAAAATTCCAACTTTAACACTGAACTTGTGATCATTTAAAAGTACCAAAAGAAATGTACGGATTTCTAATTAAAAGTTTAAAAAAAAGATGGACCCCCTGAATTTGTAGAATTATTAAATGTATACATGTATATTGAGGTAAATAAAAAATGCCAATATGGATATAGATATTTGATTGATTATTTTTTTTATTATGTGTATAATCACACTGTAAGGGTGATTTTATGAATTTTTACAAGCCAGACTGCATAATTTTTTTCATTTCACACGCTGAATACAATCATTTAGGAAAAAAAGCATTAAAAAAAGGGATCGTCTGGGATTTGAACACTGGACCTCTTACATGTAAAATGTCAAACCCCTACACCATGGAGGCGCTTTCTTGTTTTATAAATTATATGCAAACTTTAGGTCAAATACATATATATTTTTTACGTTCGATATTGTCAAAATTTTACACAGTTCATGGAGTCTAATTAAGCCTTTACTAAACAGTTCTAATTGATGTAATAAGAATAAAAAGTAATAACTCTCCACAGGCCCCTGTGCTGCAAATAGTGCCAAGCGACATTTCATACAAAAAATTACTAAAACGGGGCGGGACACTTTGAGAGGGGTGAGAGAGGCTCTTGGGAGTTTTGGTATAAAATTTGATAAGCAAAAGCTCAGAATCGGAAGCGAAAGTATTACACACAGACGGAACGTATAAATTTACGACTTTGAACTTTAACCACTTGACCTCAAAATCAATAAGGGTAAACCGTAGGACACAGAAAGTTATGTAAAATTTCATTCAAAGCTCAAAGGATTTTCGCGATATAGCGCTAAAAGGAAAGTGTTGAAACACAGAGAATTTATTTGATTTATTACCTAAACCTTTGACCTGTTGACCTCCAAATCAATAGCCTTCTTCATTAGGCCAGATGAAGTTGCCATGCAAAGTTGCATAGCAAAAGCTTAAATGGTTCTCGAGATATCGCGCGTAAATGAAAGCGTTACAGACAGACAGAAATACGAACGGACGAACGGACAGAAGGACAGACCGACCTGAAATGATATTCTCCAATTTCACTGAAAACGGGGGACAAAAACTACAGAAAAAATACCAATATTCACAAGCCCTCCTCCTTACGGAATAAATTGTTTATCCCCGAAAGACAATCATCTAATATAATTTTTGTGCCCCGCTTTGACTGGCTTGTACAAATTCCTAAAATCGTCATTGCAGTCATCCTCCCAAGCCTTGATCTAATAGACTAGTTTGACGGGGTTAGAAATGCGTTCTCTGATTAGCCTCATGCAAGTTTGATTGAAGCAATCAAAGTTATTGTTTTCTTTAACCTGAAACTAAAATGTAAACAGAAAAAACACGCCAGTTTTAACCCCTTTGAACAATAATGTTGAGCAATATTTAAAAAGATGTCTGTGTTGAATGGTACCAATTTACACTGTACTACGTTCTGATATTTATGCATACGTATTTCTATAGACTGGATAATCATTCCTGTAGATGATATTGAAGAAATTATCACGCAGGTAGAAAAAGATTCAAGGAGCAGGTAGTTGTTTCTTCTTGATGACCCTCTCGGAAAGGGTCACATTAATGAACGTTTATTTAATCATTCGAAATGTCACGAAGGTACTTTGACAAAAATCTTGAAATCATATGACATCAAGTTTTATTCACATGTAGAAAAACCATTTCAAATGATAAACGGATGCCTGAATTACTGACAAAAGAAAAGGTTGTCATTGATGATAGTCATTCGAAACTCACAGCCTTCGAAAAGGAACAAATACTGCATCTCAAATGTGTAGACATCGTTAACGTTTCAGAATCCGAAAATATGAAATTCTTAAGTGCAAAGCAGTGAGAAGTGCAATGAATACTTCCCACTACTTTGCGCTTCGTTTGCAAAGAAAGAGATATATTAATCAAGTGGAAGCTCACTTTTCCTATCACCGTATTTTTACTCTACTAGAAAGAGGAGGAAGTATTTCTCATGAATCACTTTCAAAAAATTGAGAAGCTTTAGAAATTGTTTTTCAGATATGCAGACTGTCACGTAAAGGAAAAAGGAATCGTCTTCTTTTTGTCATGTCACAATTACGGATGAGATTGCCGATGTGCTTTGTGAAAGATATTTTGCAGAAAACAAGAAAAAATGTGTGGAAGTTTGTCTTGATCTCTGTCCAGTTTGTAAGGATAGCAGGGTCCAAGCTTTGATTTGTAAGAGAGTAACAGAAATGCCTGATTGGGAACTGCAGGAGTGCTGTCTTTAATCTGTTCGTATGGGTGTTTCCCCATTGTCCCAAATTATGTATGTCAATCAAATAATGTTTGATACGGTAAAGCACTTACTTCCTTTCATACATAAGTATATTGATACCAAAATTATTGATCGTTATCCATCCCCAATTTTCTGCATATTCCATTCACTTCAATATTTACTAGATAACGAAGAATTTCTGGCTTTACTTCAAAGCAGAATCACAAAACGTTCTGCAGTTATAGCCTTGTAAATTAATTTTAAAAAGTCAGAGATACTTTATCAACTCTATGTGAAAATCTTGATGGTTTAAGAAACTACAAAACTAATGAAATATATCAAAATGATGTTTTTAAAATTATGGAAACTTTTGAAAATGAAATGGAGGAGTATGGAGAGAACGAAGAAGAAAAGGATGAACAAGATCAGCATGACAGAAACAAAACAGAAGATGAGGAGCAAAAACAGGTGAATTGGGATGAGACAAAAAGAGAAACGAACGAAGATGTACGAAAGGATCAGAGTGAGAAGATACAAATGCAGAAGGAGCAGATGGATGATAATTTTCTAATTAAAATGCTGCAAGAATGGTACTTAAATCAATGGACAACAAAGGCATTAGGCTTTGCCTTTTTTAAGTATTTTAAAAATTGAAAATTGAGATACCATCTCAGAAAAACAATATCTGAATGAATCAGAAGATAAAACGCAAGAAAAGACGCAAAAGATGACTTGGGATGAGACAAAAAGAGAAAAAAAACGATGATAAACATGAAGAAAAAAACAAAGATGTACGAAAGGATCATAAAGCGATGAAACAAATGCAGGAGAAGCAGTTGGATGATAATTGTATAACTGAAAAACTGCAAGAATTGAATTCAAATGATTTCGCAACAAAGGCATTTAATTTCGCTTTTTCAAAGTATCTAATGGTTGAAAAACGAGAAACCATCTCCAAAAAAAAAAAATACCTAAACGATTTCTTAAATAAATTGGCCCATCATTTTGTTACTTTATCTGGTATCATTGTGAATGATATTGGTAGCGCTAAAATTCATAACAATTTTACCTGTTTGAGTGACGCCTTAGAAAGATTTGAGGATCTAGGCTTGTGTTTTCCACTAATTCGCAGTAGAGACAGAAAAACACTCTGGAAACAAGTATTATCTAAGCTTTTCCTAACATCTAACGCTCCAGACTTCCCTTACCTTTCGTTTCCAAGCTTAGAGCAAACAAAACTACATGCAGAGCTTAAGGGCATCACTTCTTTCAGAAGTGATGCAATTAAGACCGAGTTAGCAGTATTCGCATGCAAGAAGTCTCCACTGTCTTGCCTTTTAATGTTTCGAGAAATTGAAATATTTGGAAATGTGATTCAAAGAATAGTAGATATGCATTTTGACAAACAAATACAACTTGTTTTTTCTACTTGCGTGAGTGGCCGTCTTGATATTGCAAAAGGAATATTGGAAAGGCTTGGAAACGACTTAGTGTCAGAAAAATTCTTTTGTTTGACGTTTGATTTCTGTTCATTACACATTGCGCCGCTTTTAAATCATGCGGAAATCATGGATTATTTATTACGAGAAAAGCACTTTGATGTAAATATTGTTGATTATCATAGCAATACACCGCTACATTTAGTGCTCTATAACATAGAGTCAAACTTGACGGAACAACAATACCAACAGGTGATCAGTACAATCAGAACATTATGTTATTTTGGTACCAATACAAATCAACAGAATAATATGGGGTTTTCACATCTTCATTTAGCCCGAAAAACAATTATACTGAGATAGTAAAACTATTTTATAATGAACCTAACATTAATTCTAAAACACATAATGGTGAAACGCCTCTAGTACTTGCTGCAGCAAAGGGAAATACTGATGTTGTTTACCTTCGAAATATGGAGCAAATTTCAACGATAAAAATGAAAAGGGTTATACAACAGTTTTTCTTGCAGCTAAAAGAGGATGCTTACAAACTATAGAGAAACTTCTTGAATATAAGGCAGATTTGAATATCAAAGGCAACCAAGGTGAAACTCCTGTAATTGT